CCTACAGTTCTAGTAACTAGTGTTTGTTATGATAAGAAATTATATTTTAGTATTATATATCAAAAAGGTGTATTCTTAGATGACGGAAAGGTTGAAAGAATCGGAAAAGGGATGATCGAATGTTTACGACTTGTGGCGAAGGGAAATATTGAATAGAATTTAATATTTTTATATATCTATTTTGAACAATCATAAAGTCTCATATTAACTATTTTTTTTTGTCGATGTGCTAATTTTGTAAAAAAGATCTTTTATTTTCGATTGTCTCAATAAAAAAATCAATCTACAATATAGAAAATATTAGTGGGAAATGTACCGTTTTTATTTTTCAAAGTCCTTTTGCAGTTTTGTTTTTCTGAAACAGACATGCAGATTGTAACATGTTGACTGTTTTAGTATGCATGTGACTGACGCATCATATAAATCGCAAGTAAGTACGAGTGTGCTTTTTTTTTGCTAAGTTTCGGGTGACTACCGTTAATTGCTAATTCTTCACTCAGTGGTACAAAATGATCTGTAATTTATAATAAACTATGACATAATGTTGCCAAATGTCAATTTCCTGATTCATTAGAATGTCACAACAGTCTATAAAACTTATAACAGAGAGTATTTTAGTTTCTAACTTACATTAAGATTTGCTTGTGCGAAATTATGGGTTCAAAAAACTATTAAAAATAGTGGAAATCATATTTTACCCATTCCATATCGTCTATATATGAGAGTTACCAGTGAACTTAATAATTAGCTATTTACTCTTTCTGTTATTCAAAGTATAACAAATCCATTACAACCAGGGTTTTTTTGTACATGTAAAGAAAAGAGTACAGAAATTATGAAATCTGCTTCTGCGGCAATGAATACTTTATATCAAGAAATATTTGGACAAAAAAACTGAGTATTCTGGACCAACAATAATGGAATTTTATAATTGTAGAATTGTAGAAAAATTAGTGAAAGATGTAATATTTTTTCCAATATTTATTAATTTCAAGTCATTTTTAATTGTAATAACAAGTATTGGCTATTCAGATAATTATGAATTTAATGGTGCAGGAAGTGGATTTTCTTCTTCAATTATAACTAAATTTCGGGGAAAACAATCTATTATTTTACAACAGATTAAAAATAATATATGTATTCTTGATATTTATCAAGAATCAAAAAAAAATTATTCAATATCAAGATGAAACAACAAATAATGTGTGGAAAAATCTGGAATTAATAAAAAATTTGATGGAAATGATTCATTTGGAATTATACATCCTTACACCTAATTTATTAATAAAAGCTTATTGGAGCAAGACTCCATTGGATTTTAAAAAAAAAATCAAATTGTAAAATCTATTTTATAACAATCTTCCAATAATCATCATATATGTACACCAAATGAATGGAATAATTCTGATTTTCTTCAACAAGCATTTGATCGACATATAAAATCAAGAAAAATTACAGCATCAATATTATTAATTGGAAAAAAAATTATTTGATGATTGGTTATTTCAAAAAAGTACAATTATTCAAATTCCAAAATGGTTACAAAAAATTTATCCAAATAATTATCAAATTAGTGAAAAAGAATTACTTGCATGGAAAGCTATGCATAAATCTTGTGGATGTTCCAATGTTACTCCATTTGAAAAAAATATATTTGATTTAGAATTTTGGAGTAGGGCAATAGATCCGAGTGGTGATAAAGAAACTTTATTAGATTTTTATAATTCAATATTAGTTCAGTTAGAAAATGAAAATAAAGAATTATCTGGAATTATAGATAGTAGTAATATATTTTGGGAAAATTTTAGGGTTGCATTAAAAAATAATAAACGTGGGATAGATGGAAAAATTCTATAATAGCTGATAAATTTTGTTATAAAGATCTTAGGGAAAAATTACAAGTTTGAATAATATTATTTTTGTCGATCAAATAATTGAATTATTTATATAATTTTATTTTTATTTTATCATCAGGAAATTTTAAGAGGTGAGGATTTTCGTTTTTAACGAAGGATTTTTTACGTTTTTCGACTTCGCTCGCGATTTATAAAGCGTAGAGTGATTTTCCACTTAGGGATTTCTAAGATAAAAAGAAAGGACGTATTCCTGGCTACAAAATAATATGTGTTTAATCTTAGTAGAATCGAGATTCGCGGAGTTATTATAGTTTAAAGAAAAACATCCGTGAAAAATCGTGCGAAAAATTTTTCAGGGATTTTTGATACATTTTTTATGTACGTTTTTTAAACGTTAATATTGATGTTACCGGGATAAACACATATTATTTATAACCAAGAACAAGGCCTTTCTTTATATCTTAGAAATACCTTGGTAGAAAATCGCTCTACACTTCACAAATCGCGAGCGAATTCAAAAAAAGTGAAAATCTCCGGAAATTTTGCATTTTTTTTACTTTTTTTTTGAGTTCGCTCGTGGTTTGCGAAGCGTAGAGGGATTTTCTGCTAAGATGTCTCTAGGATAGAAAGGAAGGCCTTGTTCGTGGCTACAAAATTATATGCGTTTTATTCCGTACAAATGAATATTCGCGGAATCATTCGCGTTTAGAGAAAAACTTCCGTAAAAAAATCGTGCAAAAATCTCTGGAAAATTTTTTGCACGATTTTTTCGCGGACGCTTTTCTTTAAACTAGAATAACTCCGCGAATATCGGTGCTACTGATATAAGACACATATTATTTTGTAGCCAAGAATAAGGTTTTTCTTTCTACCTTAGAAATATCTTAGTATAAAATCGCTCTATGCCTTATAAATCGCGAGCGAAGTCGAAAACGTAAAATTCTCCGTTAGAAATGAAAATCCTCCGTTGATCATCGTATTCAGATATTATAAAATCGCAATAACTAATAAATTTCTATTTTTTGTTTATTTTTTTTATAATATAGGTTGGTTCAACAAGCCTTAGTTTAGCCCGTAAGCATGCTAGACTTAATGGCCCAGGTGCATTTCCTATTTCAAAGCCTCAACGAATAGTCATCGTATGTCTGAAATTAAAGAAAAAGAATTTGAACTTTTCTTTCAAGACAAAAGCAATGTATTGATGAGCTCATATAAAGTAGATGCTAAAACAAATTTACCAATATTGTATTTACAAGATCAAAAACAAGCATCATGGTACAAATTTGAAGAAATATATCCTAATGGTATGAAAAAAACTTCTTTTATGACACGGTTGGCTAATTACAATCATATAAAATATTGGGAAGATTTAGGTGGATTGTGTTTAATATGTAATGACTATGGGTTTGAAGTATTTCAAAATTTAATAGCAATTGCTCGAAATACTTTATGACAAAAAAATATTAGTAAGTCAACTGTATTTATTAAAAACAAAATTATATCAAATAACTAATAATCTAATTTTATTTGTTAGGATAATGTTATTAATCGAATAGAAAAACTTAGAATGCATATGAAACAAAATTTTGAATGTGAATTGATAATTAGCAAAGATGGAACACTATCTCATGATGACTGTATAAGCCATTGTCTTTTATATGCATTTTGGGGAGTGTAATCAATATCATATTTCTCATTGTGTCAATTGTGATGAATTTTTTGAATTTCTCAATTTTTTATATTTACATATTTCTTTTGAGCAAAAAAATTTATTAGATCAAATAAAGGAGCATTTAAAATATTTTCTTTCTCATCAAGCTAGAAAAACATTCCTGAATGCTCAATTTAAGTCATCCTTAGCACAATTGGATGAAGATGGTGCTTTACTTATAGCAGATTGCAAAATGTGTGTACTACCTAAGTCAGCACGTGAAACTAAAGAACAATTCTTTGGCAAAAGAGGGTGGACCCTGCATACTATTTTGATTTTTACAAAAAAAGAAAATGAAATTCGTCTAGATGTCAATGCATATGATCATTGGTCCACAAGATGCCTGGTTTACAGTATCTTGTTTTGAAGCTGTTTTTGAGTCAATAGAAAAAAAAACCAAAATGGATGCATATCATATCAGATAATGGTTCACATTATCATAACTCTGAATTAATGTCAATTATTGCTCATTAGTATGATTGGTATCAAATACATATACACCAACCTGCCAAAAGTATCCGGGCAACAATTTTTTTGTCAAATTTTTAAAAAATTTTAAGGATGAATTA